GGGCCTCCTCACCCCACGTGTCCCCATGGCCTTCACCTCTCTTTGGGGGCCTCCTACAAGGCCCATGAGATGGACCCTGAAATCCAGAGTGGATTTAAAAAACTTCCAAGGCTTTAAGCTGGCCCATGACTTTCCCCTGTGCCAGGATTCAGCTCAAACAAGTCCAAGGGTGAACAGTAAGACCAGAGTGTGGCTGCACTCCTGCCACAGGCCTCCCTGACACGCCTGTCTCCTTACACAGGGTAGATGATCATGAGCATTCACCGGGAGTGAACTTCTCCACAGCACCTGAGCAGTCTAAAGCAGCCACATGAGAAGAGCTGGCTATCAACTGGGAGTGGAATTTTATTTCAGTCATGAGGTTTRCAGAATAGGGCAATATTGCTCTATGTATTCCACACAGAAAGCCTCGTATTGACACACTGCTGAGGCTGCACAGCTCATCGCAGAGGGAGGAAACACCAAACGACCTTCTCAGCCTGAATTCTGACTGCTCCACACATATTAAAATGCAGTCTAATTACACAGCACTTAAACAGAACGTATATTACATTCTGCAGAAATAAACTTCCCCTAAATTAATACTAAAATATCATAATGAAAGCTAGTGCAAAACCATTTTTATAAAGGTTTTGACATCTCGTCCTTCTACAGCGCCAGCCMCAGCACTTGCAAAGAAACTTTAACCTCACAGCTACCCTGTGATGGAAGGCTTTATATTATTTTATTATTTCTAAACAGCAGGGAAAATTGAAGCAAAGTGGAACTAAATGACTTGAGGTTGGCCCAGAAGYTCAGTGGGAAAGGCAAGGCAGAAGTTTACTCTCTTGGTGCTGTGCTCTTACCACAACRCACATGCATTTTTCCACTGCATATTTAGGTACCCTTCACCCCAGCATTCAAATGCACCATCAATACTGTGCTACACTTGCATTTGAGCAAGCAGCCCCTTCAATTTCATTAGCCTTGCTACGTAACACGCAACTGAACATAAAAATCAAGGCGTATGTACCATCAGCAGATGCTTCACCAATAAAAGGGACGGTATTCCAAGCAATTTAAACGAGTATCTTTGTTTTTATCATATAGAAGTGAAGTTTTTAATCATATAGAAGTGAAAAGAGCTCTTAGACAACCTCATTATGAYGTAACTTATTTTTTTTAATGCAAATGCTTGCGGCTTGTCCTCTCTTTGTTTGGGGATTGGGTTAGACTACTGTGCCCCCGTGAGAAATTCTACCCATGACAAATTCTACCTTCTCTCTGGATATTTTTTTTCTTCCATTAAAAAAAAGCAGAATGCTTTCCCCACCCGGTGCTTAAACCTTTTTCCTAGTTTAAGCTCAGATGGATCTGGCGCTTCTGGCTACAGCGCTTATCCCCCTTCCAACTGACACTCCACTCCYGACTCAGGCTGCACATTCAAGGCTGTCACTTACCAAGGGGCCTCTCCCTCTTCTCTTCCCAGTGTTTTACCTGCACATTTACTACTTAAAAAAAAGACAAATCCCAAAATTACTAATTTTCCAAACCAGCATTAAMCATTTTTTCCCTATCATTTCCTTCTCCACCTGCTAGATTTTGAATGTTCTCACATTATATTGCATCCAGGCAAGCTGTTTTTAAACTTCTCCCAAAGAATTTATCACCAAACATGTTAGACTTTTTCCTTGTATGCACCTCATATACATATTATATATATGAAATTTAAGTAAGAGCATCTCCTAACCACCTAAGCAAARCATATACTTAAACTTTAAACTGATATGTGAAATTGAAAGCTGAGGAACAGAAAGGGGGCAGTTTAGAAAACAAGTTACAATCAGACAACTAAACTGGGATCATGGCTGTTCACAAGGCTTTGTCTATAGCCAAGGTTTTTCAGTTAAGAGTTGAGTTTCTTGGTCATTTTAGACAAATAGCAAAGCAATTTGCAATGAGGTACTTGTTTCTCTATTTCAGGGTTAACAAGAGTAATGKAACTACCTACGGAGTATCAACAAGCAACTTCAAATAATATGAAGCCATGCTGTAGTGGCTGAAAGCAAGCCAGTAGAAAGCTTTAAATTCCTGAGCCAGGCTAGGAAGAAGARACGCTTATTGCAAATGCCCACATAAGCAAATTCCAAGATGTGTGGTCCTATTAATTTTATACTGTGTCTCTGTGATCAAAACGGCAGAGAATTCCCAGCCATGGTGTGGTGAAAGAACTTCCAAGAGGCAACAGATGCAGTCCAACAGTAAAAACTAGAGTCCTTCTGATGACTGAAGTCTAACAAATTCCATTTATTCCTAAGTGCTATGAAGCCAGTTCCCTTCAACACCAGTGACGTAGCTGGTAAAGCCAGCTACAAAGGAAAACAWGCCCGGAAAAAGGGAAGTGGCACCAGAGGGTCCCTGTTAGTTGTCAGCTCCTCTAGACTTGCAGGCAAGATTAAACACGACCAAGCCAAAGCAGTGGGAAAGAACTAACGTGAGCTCGCTTAACCATGAGCTCCAGTTAGTRGAGGTGCCAGATTCCCACAGCCACCATTCTGAACGCCCAGTTTAGCAACAGCTGCCTGCTTTTCCTGGCATTTTCACATGCCTTGCTACAGACTACACAATCAAGAACAAACATCCAGATTGTTCCTTTTCAGTAAGTTCTGGGCACTCAGCTGTTCTACTACAACTTTGTATACATTTATATATACACACACACACACGCACACACACTTGCATCTGAGACCAAAGAAAGGAATACTGAATCTTTAAGTGACTAAGTCACCAAAAAAGTGTACTACAGGATAGGAATTTACTTGACACAGCAGAGAATTACGTTTTATTGACTGGTATCAAGAATCTCATCTCTACACTTGACAGTCTTTCATTTCTAGAAAGAGGCTCCCACAAATATTTTAAAAGGAATGGAATGGGCATTCTTGGCATGCCTCAAATGAATGCAACAACCACCCAGATAAAGTTGGGCTTGAGAGCCCAACTCAAAAGCACACTGAGCTCCCAGAAACTACTTATTTTCAAAATTACAGGCACGTGCAGCACTCAATTATTGAAAGGTACCGATAACTAGTATTTTGATAGCTGTTGACACCAATATTTAATCCCAAAACACTTTAAAAAAATGACGAACCCTCCCGTGAAACACATTCCGTATGACGGAAAGCTGCTCTATTTCATTTTTTTTTCCCCTTTATGCCTCCAAAAAGAAACTGGAATTATATGGATGTAATGCAAGCCTCCCCAAAACCGCTAGTTATCAGTAGCAGTGGGCTCTTGTAAAGCTAATGGACAGCAGTAACCCTACTCCAGAGTTCCTCACCCTGTAATTCAGGAGAGCTACTTTCAGTGGAAAGCAAATTAAAATGTCATTCATATTCAAAAGTCAGACTCCAAACAGCCTTACACAGTTCCAGTGCTATGAAGACAAGCTGACAGGTAATAAACTACATGTTCTTCCACAGAAGTCCTATTAATGTGCGCTGCTGTCGGCTGTTAAATACAGCCCACCTGACCATAAGGCTGACTACCCACGGCTTGGTCTACCCTTAAGAGATGCAAATACTCTGCATTTACTCAGCTTTTGCATGCTCATAACCTAGAACTAAAGATTCATTACACTGCAGGATCCATGTATATTTTCCATTTTATTTGATTTGCAACTGTTACAGGGTTTTCTTGAACTGCCAGAAGTCATGCCCCCAAAGAATCAAAGAAGGTACAATGGACAGTCTCATCTACCCTTCATACAGTAGATTAAACCTTGATTCATGTGCATTGACAATTTCAATCTCTTTAAACATCAGGAAAAGTGTTGAAGATTTCACATTCCTACYACACCACCAAGTGACATGTCCATTTACCATGAACTCCACAGAAATCTTTACTGACAAACCAACAGCTTTGCTGGCAACAATGTGTTTTCGAGGAAGATGCGTGGCTCAGAGTCCAACAGTATTGTTATCAGTCTTGCAGTGGGGTTTTGTTTCCAGAAAAGAAGTCTCCAACTTTAAGGACAGTCTCTTGAGCCCTCTATTTAATAGCAGCTTCTAGGAGAAGTTGTTAATAGCCGGGTAACTCTGCAAGGGCAAGGCCAGTTCTAGCCTCTGCACAGAGAGCCAGGGAAGACCCTGGGCTCACTGAAGTCAACAGCAACATTGCCCCTGGCCTGAGAGAAGCGCGAGGCGAGTCAGCAGTTAGTCACGAGGAAGCCAACTGGCCACTCCTGCCCTCGGCTGCTCCGGCCGGGGACGCGCTTCTCCCACACAAGCAAGCAAAGGTTTTGTTCCCTTGGTTTTCTTGCCATTGGCAGCTCTTATAGAGCGAGTCTTTTTCTTTTTTTTTGGCATTTACTCTGAGAAACCTCAACACTGGAGCACACCGCTTTGTTTTGCTTCTGGTGTAAGAGCTTAGAGAAGAGAAAAAGAGTTACAGCAGACACTTCTGGTACTTGGCAGGTTTTGTTCACTGAATCAAAGCCATGGGCAACGTCCTCTACTCTCAGTAAGTGCCATTTTGCCTACTTCCCCTAGATGAAGTCAGAAAAACTTTTAAAGTCACTGCCCTCCCATTATTACTAGTATTCCTGACTTTGAAAAAATACCATTTGGGAGTTTGGGGGGATTTCTGCCGTGGCTCGCATGCTTCACAGGAGTAGCCAAACAAACAAGGCTCACCAAGCTTTAGTCATCCTTCTGCACAATAAGTCATTTTGGTCATAAAGTAACCACTGTTCTTCAAATAAACACGCATGTTTTTAACAGAGGAGAAACTTTATCTAGTATTGCTACTGCCATGTATCTCACAAGGTAAGTTCTGAACACTATAGTCAAGAGTCTGGATATCTGTGTCAAATGAAAGCTCTATATATCTTAGTGCTTTAGGGTGAGAAAGACCAACCTCAGGACCAAAAAAGAAAAAAAATATAAAAAAAAAACAAAAGAAACCTTATTTCACTATAACATCTCACATTGTTACTTAAATATGCTGCTATTTGATACCAGAAACGAGGAAGGCATTTTTTTTTTTCAGGAAAACAAAAATGCTTAAACAAACAACTGTGAAAATGGCTAATTCAAACAGACCATTCAAACCCATCATTCCTCAAATCTGCTTCTGAATGAGTTTTAATTTGTTTTGCAGTTACCTCAGTACAGCGATCTAAAAAGGTAAACAAACTACAGCTCTGTTATGCTCGGGTAGTATGAGTGGTATGGTATCTTCCAGAAGTCTCTAGCAGGCTATGGCTACACGTAACAGGATTCCTCAGAAGGGGAACAGAATAGGTTTCTCTCATTAAGGTCACTTAAATCTTTGTTATAGCAAATTGGAACCAAATGGCTGACTTCTGCAGGATTTCTGACAGGAATCCAGGAGAGCTGGTTTCAAGTTTCAGGTGGCCACTAAAACAGCTGTAACCTTCTCTTCCAGAAGTTGTGATCCACATGGTGTCCACAATGAGTGCAGCAAGTCTGAGGTAGTCAACCTTTACGAAGGCTCAGTATCTGAACATAAAAAGATTTTGAAATGACCACTGGCTGCAGGTATCTCTCTGAGCAATTAAAGAACACTGATGACTCTTGTTCAATCTTTTACATTAATTTGCCCCATATCCAATGGAGAAGTTGCAACATGTTATGCTTCCATATTGCAGGAGGACCAATCACTTACGTCAAAGCAGTCTGCACTCGCTGCAGTAGATCCAGCAGAAAAAAGGTGGCATCAGAGCCGTTAGCTGTAGTTTAGTTACCTTAGTAGAAGGGTTACCAAAAAAGCATTCCTTAATTGCAATGTGTATGCAGCTCTACTGATCCCCAAGCACAGCATACTGGTTGTCTAGCTGAAGTTTTAGTGCCTGGTTTTTTGAAACCTCATCCCTACCTCTAGTTTTGTGTTTTACTACTTCAAAGCTCTTCTCCATTTCTTTATCCCTAAGGGAAAATAAATGTAATCAGTAAATATCTTATCACTAGCTCATGAACTGTGAATTTCTAACCAATTTCCACCCCACCCCAACAACAACATTTTTACTACAAATACAAAACATGAAGGTCTAGAATTTTATCAAGATAGCCAAACATTCCCAAAACAAATCTTTTAAAAAAGTTATCTACAAACTCATCTTTCTGTACAGTTCAGATTATATTCTAAATTTCAATATTAACATTCTCAAAGGTATATTTTAAATGCATTTTTAAACACATGTTAGAAAAAGAGAAGTCCAGTCACTTTCCAGAATGCTGACCAGTAGTCAGARGAATGTATGTCACTGGGTAGATACATTTAACGTGCTATGTCAAAACAGCATTCAGAAATTTTCATCTTAGCTCAATTTACACCATTCAAGCCCTAAAGCATCAATAACAGAATGTTTCATCTACCAGAAAGACAAAACTAGGCCAGCAACATGAAAAAAAAAAACAAACCTACACTGAGAAGTCATTTCACTTGTGCTTTTAGGTATTAGCCTAACTATATCTTCTATAGGGAGTGAGACCATGGAAAATAAGGGTTCTTAGGTAGCACATGACTAAAAATCTTGAACACAACAAAATACATCAAGCTTTGGTAAAGTTGGAAGACTCCTCTTTCCAACCCAAGGCTCAAATAGCATACATTAAATCAGATTCTTTCATTTAAGTCACCTTCATGTTTCTAACGAGAGGGCAGAGTACTCAAAACTTTGTTTTCTACTGACAGGTGAACAGTAAAGAGCCTTGCCATGGCTGGCATCTGAGCGTGCTGTCAGCAGCAGAAACACCCCAGTTAGGAAAAATCCTTCAGTTAGAGGAGTGGCTGGCAGTTTTGTYTGGCTGTCTCACTGGCCTACTTCCCATCAAAGGGGTTTCATGGGGATCCCTCCAGAGTTAGAAAACACAGTTAAGACCTCTCCCATCTCTGCTAGATAGAGAGCAACTTCTCTTAGTTACTCCTTCCCTAAGTGGAAAGATACTGGCTTGACCTCTGTAACTGAACAAGGACTCAGAGCAGGCAGTTACAATGTCTGGCGGGGGATTAGTGAAGGGTACTTACTTTCGACTGTCTACAAGCTTGGCAGTGGACTGCAGCGATGGAAACTGCGTGTCACTATAGATTTCTGGTGGTCCTTGCTGTGCTCTCCGTGGCCTGCCCTCCCTGGCACCAGGCGGCCTGTACACACCACCAGTCTGCACTGGCTCTGGCGCTTCTGTAACTATTTATAAGAATGCATTTTAGACAAACGGGTAGGTTTGCATTCAGCCCCAAAACGCACAGACCAAGAAAAAAGAAAGTCTTATTACAAACATGTTTTCACACCTTCTAACGCTCTGGAGGCAAACATTTAGACAAGTGCAAAAGTCAGCTGTCATCTAACTTAAGATCTGCTTATTAGTCCAACTGCAGTTTGGCTCTACAGTAGTGCCTCATCAAGTTCAAAGCATCAGAACCCCTGAACCATGGCTACCTAAATAGTTAAACTCCACAAATATTATGAAATTATATTCAATCAAACCTAAAGTTCTGTGCCTGATAAAAATGCCTCATTTTGCAATGCCACATGCCCTGTAACCCACAATCAATTTAGAAAGAAATTCCTTAGTACCAGTGACTGAATCCTACTTAGCAAACACCACATTAGACACTGAATTAACACCAGCTTATTATCAAGCCAGTATTTTGAGATCAACAGAAACATTTCAAGAGAATCTTTGCAGCTAACTTAGTACAGGGATCTCATTCAAAACAGAGATGACTTTTTTTCCCCCATATGTAAAGGCTAAAAAAATCCCTTTCCCCACCACTCCCAAAACCTTCATGCTTATTTTGAGTATCTGACAGCACTTTGAATTCAGTTCTTCAGATCCCTTCAAAAGAGTTTCTTATTTGCTTCCAGGAATATAAAGTAAGCCATTAAGATGCTCCTAACATTAAGATGTTATGAGGTGTCAAGACAGGACAGATGCTGCTTTACAGTGAAAAACTGAAATTCAACCCAGATATGAATCTTCTGACTCCCCACTGCCCCCTCAACCCCTCCCTRCCACCCCCTGCAAAAGAAAAAACCCACCACCACCACCCAAACCTCAGTTAAATTTACCAATTGGTTCAACAACAGGTGCTGGTGCAGGAGCTGACTTGTTCCAAGGACCAGATGAYTTGTCTGCACCACCTCCAGCTTCCTCCCAGTTGTCCCCAGGTTCTTCTCTTTTTTCATTTACGTCATCGTCGTCATCTTTTTCACTACAAAAGAGAAACAGTTAAGTAGCACTTTACAATAGAGGTGAAAGACTTGCCAGACATTACACAAGCACCAAGGACAGGCTTCACAACTACTGCACAGAAGAGGCTACACTGAATCAGACTTAGTCCTTAACCACTGTATTACCACTTCCCTCAGAACAGTTTTGCCACAGAAGCAAGTGAAAAAAAAAAAATTAAGAGTTTAAATTATACTAAGTGACAAGTAAATTATTATTATAATAAATTATTATACTTGAAAATCTCTTACTACTCTTTTCCATAAGTAAATATAACCTACTCAGACCTATTTATTTTTAAACAACAACCCAAGGTTAGGGAAAAGGTTTTTTTTTTTTTTTAAAGATTAAAACAAGTATATATTAATACATTCAGAGAACAGCCTTAATAATACTAATAATAATGAAAACAGAAAAAAAAAACAGGAAGAAACAAACACCCCTGTAATTCCTGAAAATTAAATGGCCTTTGATAACAACGGCCTTTGATAGCACGTGAAAAAAAATACGTGAAGCCAGATCAAGGGCGCAAAACCAGCATTACTCAGTTTTMAAGTGCAGTCATAAGCAGATGTCATCTATGGAGCAGTAAGAACAGGAAAAAAGATATATAATCTTCCTGCCTTCCCCTTTGTGCTTTTAGTGTCTGGCTATTTCCAGCAAAGAGATCTCCCAAGCTGGGCACAATGTCCAATAACCTCCTATAATTTTCCTTCATTTACTTGAACCTACAAACTCTGAGTAGCTCTAAAATGCTGCAGCAAGGCAACTGACATGCCTGAAAATGCAATACAGCAGTTCAAGTGTTCAAAATGCCACATGCTTGTCTGGAAAAYGGAAGTACTTGTTTCTCGAACCAGCAATGCAAGTTTGACCTTTAAGTCAGTGAAGGACTTAAAGAAACCTGTTGCTTTAGGTATCACTCAGACATGTGATTATCTTGATGAAACTCATCAACACAGTCCCAGGGGTTCTTGTCAGAAAACACTAGCTTTATCTACTATATTTTCACAATCTTAAAATAAAAATACAACTATTCAGTTACTTATTCCTTCAACTGAGATGCTGACTAGAATGAGTCAGGTCTCAATCTAGCCACTTGCTATCAAGTGATTTAGGGAACACTGAAGCATTTGTAACAAAAACAGTAAGCTCCCCAATCTCTCCCTCTCAAAATATATACACACAYACACGATAAAACAGATAAAAATAGTACCTTATTTGCATGGACTGAACTCGAAGACCACTATAATCAATTTCTTCCTTTTGCTCAAATTCCTTCCAATCATCCTCTTCCTGTAAGAAGAAGAAAAAAAAATTGTTACATCTTTACACCAAAAGCAGAATGGAAAGTGGAAGATGTAGTAGCAAATTTAATACAAAGGGAAAAGGTGCAGTTCCAAGGCTAATGTGCAATACTGTCACAGGGGTAAGGATTCAGTCTACCTATCTTATTTTACTCACTAACCTTACTTACACCCTTACTTGTCTAACTTACTCTATGCACAAATGTTCTTGTGAGCTCATTTTAACTCACCGGAACAGGAAAGAAAAAGAAACCACGCAAGCAAAAGGAAACCAAATCAGCTCAGGAAAAGCAAGAGGAAGACACAAAGTAGAGACCAGGACCACAGAGCCACAAGCAGGGAAATCAGGCAGGGCCTCTCCGCTCACTGACACGGAGCCAGTGCTTAACCAGCAGCAGATCCGAGGGTTAACAGAGCGGGTGAAAAGCCGAGCAGAAGAGATAACTCACCCTATGCTCCTAGGCACACACAGCCCAGCTAGCAGTGCAATTCCTACACTTCACGCGAAGGGCAGCTCTTCTACCTGGAGCACAAGGGCCTGACAAGCCACAAATGCCAACAGCAGCTCCCTCCCGCTCAGCAGATGGGGAAACGGCTTCTTCTAAGGGCAGGCTGCCATTACCCCGCCCCTCCACGTTAGTCTCCCAGCAGAGGGGCTCTTACACCGGCCGGCACGCGCCCGATCGCCCGCGCCACAGCGCTCCCGCCGCCGCCCACGGCCTCCCCCGGGGCGGCCCCGCGCTCACGCCGCTCCCACGGCCGGCTCTGCGGCCTCGCTCCGCGCACCTTAAGCGCGAGCTTAACACGGGACGCCGGTCCCCAGGCGGGGAGC